AAAAAAAAAGTTAACAAGGACCAAGCCGATCGCCTATCGCGTATGAGGGAGAGAAAACATGCCTGGCCCATTGCTTTAGCTTGAATTCCTTCACACAACTCGCCCACCGAAACATGGCGGACGCCGCTGTCAAATGTGGCCATCGCGCAGCAAGGCGAGAGAGGAGCGTACGGTATCTAGTACTATAGTGTACATCTATGAGCTCTACACAAAACCAATGGCTTTGAAGCCAAATAACAATGAGCACATTTCCTGTTTAGTCCAAGTTTTGCGTGGTATGTATTTCCCGCTTTGTTTGAAGCTATCGTAATAAAAATGTTGTTTATTGCAAAGGGAAAATTCTCCGTTCATTAAATATACGTAATGTATGTCCATTCTATCAATTTAACGAGGCTTCTCAATACACGCGCGAAGACAATTTTACGTTTCTTTGATTTCGCACAATTTTGCCATGTCTGTTTTTATGGTCAATTTGGAGTGACTATATCTCGAGCATCTGTTAACATAGATGAAATATTAACTTGTGAGATGATGCAGAATTTATTTAGCTTGAAATTGATATGCTGCATGAGTGGGTAGTGCAAGGCTTTAACACAATGATTGGGTGATTACATTTTCAAGTTTCTTTTTGGAAGAGTGGCGACATTAATTTGGTGGACAACTGGTGGAGAGATGGACTTCAGAGGAGCGATATATTGGTAGCATTAATTTAGTGGACAAGTTGTAGAGAGACATGTATGGGTACCAGAGGAGCAAAAATATGTAGTGGTAGAAATTGATGAACAACTGGTTGAGAGATAGGTATTAGAGATAATAATATAGTGGCTGCATTTGGTGAACATTTGGTAGAGAGTTGCGAATTAGATAACTATATAGCGGCTTGTACTTAACTTATTAGCTTAAGATGAACACCGAACAGTGAAGAAATGAAGGATCCAAGCATTACTTAACCCTATCCGTACATCGCGTTTTACTGTTGTATCCATACCACGTTAGGAGCTCGGTGCCACCACTTTCCAAGAAGAAATGTACTTGTTAATCCGATCCCTACGCTTCGCATAGCAGTCTGTCAAAATGGGGTTTTTTTTAGAAATACTGAAAGTTTCAAAGAGATCTTCGCACTAGAAGTAGAAATATTCTAAAATGTGAAGAATACAACCCCGGGGGTAACAAAATGACCCCAGGGCGTACGTATAGAGTTAAACATACGGTCTGATACATTTGTATTTTCCTGTGGCTTCAGATCTTTCCCCGTCAGGGCAGTGCTACTGACTGAGGTTGTCTTTAGGCCATTCCCAAAGGGAGGATATTTACATGTTCTTATGCACAGTAGAATTGTAAATGGGCTGATTTATCAATGTCATGCTCATTATACTGTGCGGAACAACACAGGGGGAACTGCTGCTTTTTATTTCCTTATCCTTACTATCGTTATTTTTCCTCTACTTCTTTTGTATGTTTATCACTCTCTTGTGAACTGCTTTTTCCGGGGTGCCTTTATAGTCGAAGCAGACTTTGTACTGTTGAGGCTAGAGGGGGAGCAGAGTAAACCTGATTACCAGTTTGGACTTCTCTGTTGACACCTACCCCTCGGCGCTCATTTGACCATATTATTATGCAGTTGCAAGCGCCGTAAAAACCTTACTGAAACAAACACGTTCTTTCTCCGTCACAGTATAGCTTTACGATGCGAGACTCGAAGGACTGGGCTGTAAATAAGTTATTTAACCCTATCTGTACGTCGTGTTTTACTGTCGTATCCATACGACATGGGGAACTCTGAGCCACC